TTCTTGAATATAAGATACCTACGCGATAAATCATTGTACGCGAAGAACGAAGCGTGGTTTATTTCATGATAAAACATTGTTCTATAATAACGTCATTTCTGGGGATTTGAACATTCGCTCGCAACTTCATGACGTCGTATATTGGACGGCGTTAGACTTTGAGAGGGGAGTGTCTAGTGAGTTGTTCCCCGTAGCTGGGCAACGCAGGTAAACGCGATGGCAGAAGATCGCATCCAAAAGCGAGAGAGAAATGACAATCGGCACAGGTTATTGACGTGAAGATTGTGAGAATATGCGGGAAATACACACATGTGCATAAAATAAATGAAGTAAACGCCGAGATCGGATTCTATTCAGGGAGTCATCATTATTTATGTCAAGGTAAACAAGGTATACTCAACAACAAAAGGTCCTGTGACACCAATATTTTAGTGTATTTTTCAAACAAGTAAAGTTTGGTTTTCAATATTTTAGTACATGTATGGCATCAAGTCACAAAAACGCAACTGCTACAGAAAAGCATGCATTCCATGCAAAAGTTGACTTTTATGCAAGCCCCATGCATTTCACTACCCAAGAATGGATATAAAACATGTGCGTTAACGGGATTCCATATGCATTGTTTAGCATCGTGCTGACAACAACCACTCAGAAAAACAACAAAATTACGCAATTATTCAACATTACAAAATGCCACGCCAGTCCGAAAATGAGCGTCTGCGAGCCATTGGTATGCTTGAAGCAGGATCGAGTCAACGCGATGTTGCAAGACAATTTAACGTCCACAGAAACACCATTTGGTGTTTATGGCAACGTTGGCAACAGACGAATGCAGTCAGAGACCATCCTCGGAGTGGCAGGCCACGCGTAACCAATAATCGACAAGACAACTGGATTCGAACAACACACCTACGAAATCGATTCCAGCCAGCAACAGTGACTACAAGAAGCATCCCTGGCCTTCGACGAATATCTTCACAAACCGGACGTCGTTGCCTCAGATGTGCAGGGATTGTCGCCAGAAGACCCGCCAGACGTCCCATTTTGACAAGAAACCACCGTCAAGCACGTCTACTGTGGTGCAGACATCGTCTACGCTGGACGGCCAGCAGAGGGGACAAGTTCTATTCACTGACGAGACTCGTTTTCACCCCAGCCACAGCGATGGACGGATTCGAGTGTACCGACGTCGAGGTGAACGTCACGTCAATCATTGTGTCATGGAAGAAGATCGGTTCGGGGGCGGCAGTGTTATGGTATGGGGTGGTATTGCAGCAAGACAGAGGACCCGTTTGATAGTGGTAGAAGGAAATCTCAATGGACAGCGTTACCGCGTTTTTACCGTTGTTTTACCGTTTTTTTGCCTCGTAATGGCCCAGGCATTACCTTTCAACATGTCAACGCCCGGCCTCACATTGCCCGACTTGTTCAGATTCTCTTCAACAAAACAACGTGAATGTCATCCCCTGGCCGTCTCGCTCCCCTGATCTCTCACCAATCGAGCACATGTGGGATGAGATGGATCGGTTCCCTCGACGTCACCCACGTGGTCCACAAACACTCGAGGAACTTCGAAACATGCTCCAGCAGATATGGACAGATATCCCACAAGACTTTGTGCGACACCTGGTCCATTCCATGAGACGAAGATGTGTTGTTTGCATCGCAACCAGAGGTGGATACACACGCTATTGATTTGTAAATTGACATTTTGGCATGTTCATGTTTTTTTTTATGAAATCACGCATTTTCTGAAGTCAGTATGGCAAATTAAACCATTTGAATACTTACAGGAGTCTTTTTTCTGTTGCAAACCGAAATTGTTTCAGATTTGGTAAAAAAACATAACTTTGCATTAAATCTTATACAATGTCACAGGAACGTTTGTCGTTCAGTAAATATATATATAGCTTCAGTTTAATCACATGACTGGAAACATTACACAAGTGTGTCGTTGGTAATTTTGACTTGAAGTGTTTTCTGTCGTAACTGCAACAGTTTATTTTACTGCAACTGCCAGCTATGAAACAGTGTGCTTACCGAGTTTGTTGCCCTGTAGCCATGAAACCGGAATCGTTGGCCTGTGGCGTGATATATGGCGTCGCCGTGTGAGGAACATGGCGAAAGAAAAGCGATAGTGGTCGTTTTGTTTGATTGCAGTATGTTGCTATGGTTATTCCCAGGGCACCAACGCCCGCCTTTGTGGCAGATTTGGCACTGACACAGAGGTTTGAATATAGTTGGGAAAACCCTGCGGTATGCGAAGTGATTGACATCCTCTTTCCATATTTCTTCCCATTTAATAACATTCAAATATTCGACAAGTTTAAAGAAACCATTTCACCGATAACTGACAGTAATGACAGTCATGAAAGAACGATGTTACCAAGGATACGTTAGTGCACGGGGAGCTACTTAAAATACCATCATGAAGTCAGTCGAATCTGACGAAACTCAAACAGTGTACTTTAGTTATCGCAGGATGACGTGCAGTCGGCACCTTTGATCTTTTAGCGAAGCATCTTAGAAACTGAATTAATCTCATGGCAGTCAAACAATTGCAGGCGGCCTTGCGCGATCTCGTGGCACATGTTTCCAAGTGGGAACGTGACTGAAGGTATCTGGATCATAACTGTTTTGTTCGCCTACCCATAATGTTGTTCTTCGCAGCTTCGCATATGATTATCTAGATCAATCCATAATCGAACGTACACAGGACGTTTCTTTGGGGCTAGCCTTATGACTAGCATGTCAAACGCAAAGGATATTTGGGAATACCCGCATAATGACTGAAGGTCAAGGTATTGTTTGAACTTTGCTTGTTATATATTCACGCCAGATAGAACTCAATCATACACTTTCGGGCCAACTAGGACCGCCTCCGTGGTCTAGTGGAATGGCGTATGCATGGAGAGCGGAACGTCCGGGGTTCGATCGCCGGTCGCATCATACCAAATGACGTTAAAAGAAGGGTACTTGTTGTTACCCTGTCTGGTGCTCGCCATTAAGGGTATAAAACAAGGACTGGTCGGTTCGGAGTCAGTATGTTAAACAGTGGGCTGGCACTATACATCGGCATCAGTCCGGACTATTACAAGAAGCCACACACACACGTGCATGCACGTCGCTATATAAGTGCAATAATCTTGGACGCGACGTTAAACCCTATTTCACTTCACCTTTCACCTTACCTCGTGGTTAAACTGTTTTCTCGCGATCGTCACGCCGAAAGCCCTTGTTCGAATCCCCCCATGGGTACAAAACGTAAAGGTCATCTACTCGCCGTCGTATATGTGCAATTTTGCTTACATCAGTGTACAATCTTACTCACTTACTCGATGTCTTAATGATAAGGAACTATCACTTACTTTGGTTACGGGACATGTGCTCACAAATACAATGGGATGTGATTCGCAAACCAGAATTCTTGCTCTCATCTTTTGAGATGCGTAAGTTTCTGACCAAATACTGTAGTTCCAGGGATATCATATTCATGCATATGGTTAAAGGTTCGCGCTGACTGCTCTTTTCACATGCAACATTGCGGTGGCACGTGGACCAATGTTCAGCGGTGAGGTCTCAAATCAGGTGAAGGTGAGCAACGTTGGGTGACCTCGTTCGGCAGCTTGACTCCATGTGAGTATCGTGGCCCTTCCCCATACTGAAGCGCATGTAGCACATTTGATGTCTGCTTAGGCAAGTGACTTTGTTCGAACTGTGCCTATGTTTACCCAGCAGTGAATGAGATAGTATTGTGACTGTTACCTTCTGGCGCCTCTCTTGCAGATCCCCAGGAAGCTTGGAATAATAAGCGAGTGCACACTGCTCCATTGATCGGGGTAATAATGTAGCGCTCTAGGCATGCTTTAGGGTTTAGATTTATCACATTATAAATATGTACATTATCACATGTACAGATTAAAATATAAATGCAACAAGGAGGGTTTGGGTGATCCTTGCACAGTCAGGCTGGTAAGGCTCATCATCAGCTCAGGGCCCTTGCCCCCTCTACACGCAGCCCAGACAGCGAATGGCACTTCTCCCGGGAAACGCTGCCTAGTCAAACCCACCCAGAACGTTTCGACGAATGTGAAGAACCCCCATCTCTGCAGCCTTCTGCATTACCCAGATTGTCAGAAGTGCTGTATTCCTGGTAGCATACCCGGGTACTCTCTCAATGTCAGTCAGCCAGTGTCAGATTGGGAGGTACAAAACCTGAGGCACCGAGAACAATGGGGAATCGGATAACTTGGTACTTGGGATGCAAGCGTGACATTTCGAAAGAAAGGTCCGCAAATTTGCCATGCTTTTCCTCAATCTTGTCAATCACATTAGTGTCAAAAGGGTCAGAAAATTCAATGATATAAATTATTTCATTGGATTTATCAAAAAGGACAAGATCAGGTATGTTGGCCTGGATATGTCTGAGGCTGTATACGGGCCTATTCCAAAGAATTTTGTATTTAACCACAAGTATTGCGAGACGGTAATAAACGGTTCGAGCCATAGTATCATGTCGCCTAAGATACTGTGTTTGTGCCAATGCATATTATTGTTATTTTTTATTATCATATAAACACAAGGTCCAGGCGGCTGTGTAAATCTCGAAAAACATGCGTCGTGAGTAGTATTGTTTCTAAAGTTTATTTGTAGGAGTATATTAAACAGTAATAAGTGTACCATAGGTGACCCATAAGACGAACACCAATTACCATCTCTGATTTAGTGATGCCTTGTTTGGAAATTTGGTACACATTGAAATTATTAATCCGAGAAAGTTTATGTATGCAACTTATTTAATTGGCGAATTTTAAAGTCAAGTGTACATCAGTTCATTCACATAAATATAATAAGATGAAGAACATAATAAAATTAAGGATGAGACGAAATGTCATGTTTATGTTTTAATAGCGTATCTCAAAATGCCATACCTACAATATAATTAATGGCCACGTGTTTTGTTCGTCCTGTACCTGGATTTGCATTCTCTACACCACTACTTAGGTTTCATTTCCATACTGTGACCCTATGCAATAATGATAGAGACATTCTAGAGCCAGTGTCAGAAGTCCCAAGCCCACACCGGCTGCTACTGCTGTTCCGACTCCGCCAACCTCGTCAAGTGTCACTGGCGTCACAAGCTTCTCAGAGTCACATCCAGTTTTGTCAACCAGCCAGCCAAATTCATCCATCCATTTTCCTGGCCACCCAGTGTCCACCAGCATGTGCATCCTGGAATAAACATAAACTAGAATTTAAAATAGCTGAATTTCCACATATTAACGCGGGTCTTAAATACAACAACATTTTAGTCACTATGAACACATATTACATAGGTGTCTTAATATGGTCATCGTTTTCCTGTATTTTCTGGCGTGTGAAATGAGCATAAATATTGTGCATATATGTCACGGATGTCAATACCCTTGACATCACATACTTATCTTCACAATGCACTGTCACTTGGGCGTTTTTATTCATTATAACAGTCTCGAAAGAATAAGAGATAGCTCGATTACAAGTCTGAACGAAATCTATCTACCTAACAAGTGCTACTTTGCTGAATGGGCTAACGACTGCATTCTTATGATGAATTAGAGTAGAAAGTCACCAGTTGGGAAATGCGCAACCTGTTCTCGGTGAAGGAAATGCATTCCCTGTCTGTCCATATATTTGTTTAACGGTCCAGTGATATAGCTAATTACGTTACTGAAGCCATGACCGACCATGGCTTGGAGGCAAATGTCCGGGTGACTTGTATGTTCTGCCTCTGCTTGATGCACGTTTAATATGATCGTTGGCACTAGATTTATAACGCGTGATGCATGGTTCCTTGAACAGGCATGTTGATCGAGAATTTGATCAATCTGCTTCAAACTTGAAGAAATTATAGAGAGAAACCCTGATCATAATAATGTTTTTTCTATGTACACGTGAAACATACTTAGAACATAACAGAAGTTAGTCCGAGATAATGCTCTGCGCTGTTCAGCAACTTTTAAGCTCAATGTTCTTTTCACGTCTATTGCAGTATTAGTGAATAACAGAGATAACTTCTCTTTCTAGAAACAATAACTGTGTTTGCTTGTCTGGTGTTAAACACCGCAGTGTGTAATAAAATTGAATCTGGACCCTCTCTGTGACATCTTGAGTTGATAGCTGATTTCAATTCTCAAGTAATGACAACTTTATGGTATGCATGATACTACATTACGCATGCCTTTAACAACAGAGATTACAACGATATGTGTGTGGGTGTGTGGGTGTGGGTGTGGGTGTGTGTGTGTGTGTGGGGGGGGGGGGGGGGGGGGGCGAGATATGTACAAGATGTTAAGGTTTTGATATTTGTCGGTTGTGGGATCTTAAAACACTCTCTAGCTCATGAACAAACTATTGGCTGAAGAACCGAGTGAAGGGAGGTGATTAAAAGTGTGAAAAGTTGTCGTATAGTGTTTTGCTTTGTCAGACCCTTGTTGTAAGGTTAGTGAAGTAATATGAGCATTGATGGCAAAGGTTATCAGCATAAGTGAAAATTGTTTTGGTTATTGTTTAACGCCGGACATAGCAATATTCCAGCTATGTGGCAGCAGCTTGTTAATAATCGAGGCTAGACCAGACTTTCTAGTGAGCAACGATATCCACGCCGTCGGGGCACGCTGACACGCAATCACCGAGCCTGGCAACCCGATCTTCTTTTACGATCATGTAGAAACTATTCAAATACTTACGTTTGTTGTTTGAAATGATACGTATCCTTCTTAGACACTGTTTCTTTGCTCAAGGAAATATTTATATTTTAAACTCTTCAAATATTTAATGGAGTATCGACTTCGGAATTCTTGCATGGATATTGCTGAAAATCCGGTCATAACACTTGACAATGGTGCTTGTGCATACATCAATAAACAATGGTCGTATGTTTCAAAGGTGCAGCTTCATATGCAATAACGTCGCAATCTAGTTCGTATCGAAAATCATAAGAAAATTTGGTCATTGCATGTATTCTACTTTGTTTTTGCGTTTTTGTCAAAGGACTAAAAGTCGGATTTTCGTTCTGTGTTAAGAGTTAATGCAGTTCAGGTTTCAATTATTTATTTTTAAGTCCTGTCCCAGTTTCAATAGAAGGCATTGGAGGAAATCATTGTAATTACAAGAAATGTGTCTAGATCTCCCATCATAAAGAACCACTAAATCTTTTTTTCAATAATCATAATAATAAAAAGCAGGTATCACCTGATAGATGATAAATGGTATGATCGCGTTTATGATAAATTTTGCACACATACAAACAGACTGAATGGTAAAGTCAAATGTTATGTTGAAAATATATTACTCAAAACACAACTGGCAAAACTAGCATTTGTTACGGTATCATACATTTGAGAGAATACATAGTATTTCTGTTTTTTTATGATAAACTAAACATAAACTGATGGTTTTGGAAATCATCTGGGTATGTAGTGAAAAGCTTGTAATGTCAACGAGGGCAGTTAACTGATTACCATGATGCAACTTTGTTCTGCAAGGTACCTTCACTACTGATCTGTTTAGGAATCCCTGGGATATTTTGAAGTAAAAAGTTATATATTTCAGTGGTCGGAGAGAATATCAAATCACATACACACGTTCCAACTCTGACTTCAAGGGCGAGGATTTAGGGACTCCAAAAGCCATCTGTTCATACAAGGCCCAGTCCCTGAGGTAGGCGAGTTTGCAGTTCTTGGCCATTAAGACATCGGAGATGATAGTGAATACAATGGCGGCATATTTTCCTTTCTTCATTTCATTGACATGGTAGTTGTAGTCAGTCGAGAAAACTCGAGGATCAGTCACGTGTTGTTGTTGGACCATTTTCCATAATTGTTTTATGTCCTCCCTCTTGGAATTCTGAAATTAATATGAATATATTGATTGATATCACTTTCATGAGAAAAAAGTATTTTATAAGCAAATCATGGACAGAAATAAAGATCGGGGTGTTGATGTTTGTGAGAGAGGAGATCCTTTCTACATTTGTCGTATCCGATTCATTCGCACGTTTATATGTCGCCATATTGCTGAAGTAATGCCGATGCGACTTTAAATTTTAACTCACTCATTCGATTATTGTATATTATCGGTTGTTCTTTCCGTCACTACCGAGGTCCTGATACCGAAAACCCGACAGTCCCTTTGAAATTGCTACCTCCTTCTATTTATTGTTCAATACTGAGTGAAAGGAATCAATAAATGAAAAGTATTTGCATAGTATTATGTATATAGATCATTAAAGTACACATAATTATTTTCGATTTAACTGAGATGTTGAAGTGAGATGCAGGACCTTTGAAAATTATCAAACACATATCTTTTTAAGTACATTGTGTGAATTGTGGGTGCTACCGTAGGCGTAGGACATGTTTACCCATTTTGCGAACACATGGTGTCATCACTGATTTCCATGCATATGATTGTTACCGCTTTTATATTTCATACCCAGTGGAATCTATTTCGTCGGACAATCGAGCCTGGTTATGCTCTGACGTTGACGTTTTGTATTCATATTGTCCAGGTTATACGATAACTATAGGGCTGCTGTGTTAATGCACTGATATTGCCCCAAACACACTGAACAAACACAACAAAAACTTAATTTATACCATGAGAACCTAACGTGTGTACCTGGAAATATGTTCGAGCAAAACCTTCAGTCGGGAATCCTATCGTGTAGTCAAGTCTTTCAGAGAGTTCCTGGAGATTGCTGAATGGTGGAGGTTCGGACTTCTTCACAGACAGGAAGGCGACAAGTTTTCCAGTGTAGACAGACGTGATGACAATGAGAAAGATCCACCGGAAAAATGTTAGAACCCGACCAGATACACCGGTGAATGTGTAGGTACTACCTGTAATCAATCAGCAAAGTATTAATCTAGATATACACAGATTGGGAGTGAGTTGGATTTCACTCTTCTTTGAACAAAGGGTATTTCAGTTACTTCACGGCATGTCAGCTTAATTTGGAGGAGATCCATATCATACGCCTCTGCGTCTGTGAAGGGGACGTGTTTTCAATGATTATAGTCCTCGTCACTTGAAACAGAATCACGAAATATCGCGATAATGAATTCACGAAGAGTGTTATGTGTGTGTTAAAACTTATAAAGTGAAAACAACCCATTCCGCCGTGACGGAATACCAATTACAGTAATGACAGAAATTGCTAAGTGCGCTGTTCAAATATCCACGCTGCACACGCTGCGAAATTTAGCCTACATATTGTCACCTGACTGCCGAACATTACCCGGATTGTTACCACGTGTTCAAAACTCAATGATAATGTTATTCATGGAAAACAAAACAATAAAAAAATGGCATACATCACTAAAGACAGACAATGAGGACAATACCTTGTTTCAGCATTGATCCAAGAATAAACCATGACATGTTCGACAGGATTTCTTTTTTCGTTTTTAATGTATCTCCAGGAGTTCCATGTCTTAGATGCAATTCTGTAACTCCATAAATTAGAAGAACACAAACCACGCACACCCCGAACACCACGAACACCATTTGTTTGAAAGGTTTCAACAGCAACAGCCATCTGTACTGGTCGACGTCCGGTTCCCTGTACATGACACGCGTGTAGGCGGTGATAAATGGGGGAAGAAGGTAATCCATCACAGCTGCTCTGTCATCAGAAATCGTTAAACCAGATGCAACCATATCCACCTCCTACAAAAGATATCAATGATGCTGAATTAACAACAAAAGAAATAGATAGAAGATAGAGATAGAAAAACTGCCCCCACTTTTTTCCAAAACGAACATATTTCTCAAACGTTTTCATTTACTTATAAGCAGCAGAATCTTTGCTCCATCGTGTCACTGTATTTTCTGGTCCATCATTTGATTGTATCTGGTTTGTGTACAGGCCGCAGTCGCCTGGGGTAGGGGTACTGCAGTGTATAGCGTCAGGTAACAAACAAACAGTTACCTTTTTAGTAAATTGTGTGAGTGTCGGGTGGTACCGTTAGGGCAGGACATGCTTACGCTTTTCACGGACACTTGGTGTCATTACTAGTTTTGAGTGATCCATTCATATCATTTTCACCCGCTATTCCACCTTTACCTGTGTAATTCTGTTTCGGCTGATAATCGAGACTGGTTATCCTCTGGCGTTGACGTGTTTTTATTTCCAATTCAGTACCACAAGCGCATGCGTAAGTAAATATGTATATTTCTTTCATAAACAAAGATATGGATGTGGGTTGCTTGAAAAATCTTACCATTTACAGACACAATTCTGTTACTATTTCGTCACATGGGCATAGAATCCTAGAAGGGACACTGTCATGTTGTTGCATTACAAAACCAAGCAAAGAATTACAAAATACAATGATTTACCATATTAATCATGTGACATAATCAGATTCTCGGGTTGTCGCGCATGATTAATATATTGAAAACATGGAATAAAGAATATAAGCGAGGCAATGCAACAACGCCACATTAATTTGACTACTTGTTTTAATATTTTCGTCTTAGAACCATGATGAAAACAAGGCATTCCACAGTCTTCTTAAACAAGCCAGGGATGTTGGACATAATCGCAATGTCAATGTTGATTTTATTGATGGTTGTTGTACTGCTGAATGGTACAAAAATGAGTGTCAACCAAGCGAACTCCCTGAACTACCACTGCATCGAGTTTATGTAGTGTGTTCCAGATTCCTTCGATTGCAATTGACCAGTCACCAGGACCAGTCACCTCCCACTCGAAACGGTTTATGTGTGATTTTGCATCGAAATATGAACACTTTTTAAGTAGATGGCCAGCTTTGGCACAGTTTCTTAACCGAGATGATGGTGTAGCTAGGTCCATTTAATACTGGCTTCGCCATGCTGTTGGCTTCGACACAGAGGTCCATGCATGGCACGACCCAGAATATACAGTTGCCATAATGGAATAGGCCCGTATACAGCCTCAGACATATGCAGGCCAACAAATCTCACTTTGTCTGTTTTGATAAATCCAATGAAACCATTTATGTCACCGAAGTCTCTGTTCCTTTTGACACTAATGTGATTGACAAGATTCAGGAAAAACAAAGCAAAATATGCGGACCTCGCTCTCGAAATGTCCCGCATGCATCCCAAGTACCAAGTTGTCAGACCCCCCATTGTTCTTGGTGCCTTAGGTTTGGTACCTCCCAATCTGATGACATTGTGAGAGTACCCAGTCCTTCTGACACCCTGGGTTATGCAGCAGGCTGTAATGTTTGGGAGTCTTCACTTTCTACGAAAGGTTTTCGGTGGGTTCGACTAGGCACCGCTTGAAGAATATCTGATTCTGGACAAATGGAGTAGAACCACTTTAGATACTGATTAGGATCAGCGATATCTGGAATACACTATCAGAACTATATGACGGTCCCTTCAAACACTGATTTAGCCACCGATTTGTTTACGGTGCCTTGACTTAGATGTGAACAGATCACACCTCTTTGAATTAATATAGATCGCATGCATTTCTAGATTCGAACTATCTGTAACTGTACTAAAATAAAGGAAACAAGGATATACAATGAATATGTTGAGGATAATTTTAATGAACATATTCAGTGCAAAGACATTTCGTGAACTTTGTGCCCTTAATCTCATCAAACTTCAGTTCGGGTTATTAAAATAAAAGCCTCAAAACCCTTTCCATATTCATTGATTGTACGAAACCGACTATATCATCAGCATGTATTTGTGAATCGCTCTCAGATAGTGATGGTACCAGGTGTTCGCGAAAAGGAACAATAAATATTTGTTACAATAATTTCAAAATTATATCTGAATGTGATGGGTCCGACGACTCAATACCATATCAGTTTGGTGTACAGTGAATCGCGACGCCTAAGACTACTGGCACAACCGTGCAACCTCATCGTTTTGATAGCTTGTTGGGAACCGAAATAAAAAGAAATTTCATATGATATCATTAAAGCACTTTTCGAATCATTTTTGTTATATATGTCAAGCTTGTGTGTGCTTTTGAGAATATTAAAGTTAAAACGAGCTTAATAAGCTCAATTCTTGTGGTCGCCATGATGTATTAGGACCATGTCATTTTACCATCTAACGAGGAAGTTGTGTTAACGAGACATACTGTTTCGCGATAACGCATATGATGAATATGTAGTTTGGTCTGACAACGAAGCAGTTCAACGTCTCTGCATTTGGTGCGTCTATCATGTTCTCCGTGGAACCTATGTGTTTATCGACTGACTGACTGACTGACTGACGGGACACGTTGTAAGGCATACCATAATCGCTATGCCTTTCCACTACAATAGTGTGTATTACGAGAGCGTTTAACCGGGCCTGATTTTATGTTTTATCAATTTTATTATATTCGAAAACGCTACTTTAAGACTGAACACTGAGTATTCAATTCTTTTATTATCCACCGTTCACAAACAACCAAATTGTTGCAGTACCCTTCTTTGTAATTGTCCTATCAGACCATTCCAAGTACAATTGTCTTCATTTCCCCATGCTTTATCAGGCGGTTCTATGACCTTAATGCTGAAAAAAATGAAGGAACGTATAATTCTCTTAAGTTTGTTCACTCACATCTGATTACACATCATCCAAGCAACCATCTATTTATGTCTTAGGTATTACAATAGAGAAGTAATGCAAAAGCGCTTAAAGTAATTTAAAAAAGTTACAATTAGAGTGGCAAGTTCATTTCAAATGTATTCTCCTGATTCATATACAAATACAATGAGCATGCATTTATAACCTGACTATATAAATGGTATTGTCCTGAAACCCTTGTTGAAATCACTTCAAATCCTTCTCTCCTATGAGCTCGACCACTGTGATATGATATATATACTGTCAACAGTGGCGGTATACCGAACAAACGCACTCTAAATGTTCAAACTTACCTGAAGTTCAACTTTTGAGCCATTACATTGGCCATAGTCATCAAGACATCATTCAAGTGCGCCTTCATGGTGATTTTGTTGGGATTGCAAAAACAAAATAATAAACGATGATTCATAGGCAATAATTATGTTCCATGAACTAATAGCAGTGCAAGGCACATGCAGACTGTAATCGTCACAAATGAATCAGGCATGATTTTAGAGAATATTTAATATCTGATTTGTTTCAAACTTAAATATTTTTAACCAATTGTTTGCCTTTTACGCCCAATGAAATCCGTTTCAGCAGATAATCGAGACTTATTATCGTCTGGCGATACATAAGAAGAGACTGGAATATTGCTGAGTGCGGCGTTCAACAACAAACAAAGTCAACTTAACCTGCTAAGTTGTATCAGACAATGTACCAACATTGGTATCAGCAATGTATCAATGTCATAAGGCTATACGCGACATATAATAACAACTCACCCCTTTCATCATCGATACTAACAGTGTTCTGTTGTTATAGCCGTACTTCATATTTGGGAAGGCTTCCGTCATCCGAAATGACGTGACAGGAACGAGTCTTCCTGCAGTCCCAGTCCCTTGCAATGTTGAAACAACCACTCCTTCTTTATCCTATTACAACATAGTTGAATATCATTGTTCTGAATGAACATGTTAATAACATGTTCAGCTATGGACAAAAACACTAAACGGTAATTTCTAAGAATGACTCTGTCCTTTGAAATGTCTCCAATACTGCAGGAGTGTTAAACATTTCCTCCACAACAAAATGTTCAGTAACTTTTTTAATGTTTGTACTAAAATTTTGACAATATCAGACTCCTGATTGGTTGTGCCTCATGTTCATTGGGATTAAGAATTATATAGCAGTGTATTATATTGTTTAATGGTGATCGTGGCTGTTTGGCTTTGTTTCTATAGGGAGTCGGTAGACGCTCATTGCATTGTGCTTGGACAGTGATGAGTTATCAGGAAGTTACTATATTTAGATGCTAGTGTGGTACGTAAACTTCCTGTCCGGTATACCGCGGACGGTGTTAATGTGTTACGGTGTTGATGTTATGGAAATGTTCTAGGACACTGTGTTGAACATTCCACTGGCTGGGTAGGTTGTATTCTAGGGCACAATAGCGTGTTTGCGTATCTCTCACGCATTTCATCGCTTCGGTACCAGCTTTCATGTGAGGATCGACCATCATCCCTGATTCCCTGCCCAGCCCATCTCGGAAGCTTGGCCATTATCGCCACTGGGCCGGGTGAATATGTATTTTTATCAGTGACTGTAATTTTGTATCTGATACTGACCACTGCCATCATATTATATACTGTCATTGAATATTGTAGTATCACTCTATTGTGTACTGAAACAAATAAACAGCATTTACTTCCAAACTGTGATCTTGTTTTACTCACAAGTACTTCTGTGGTGTGACTTAATAAATCAAGCGATTTGTAAATTGACATACTGAGTGTACCTTAATGTTTGGCCAGGAAGTATAAAAAAGTGACCAATTGTTTTGTCACAAATCAAACTTAATAACAACAATTCCTGGGTCAGATAAAGTGATTTCTGTTTAAGGTCTTGTTCAAGGTTACCAGAAGACCATGTGGTCCATTAATTCAAGCAAGGTATTATGTCTTACATGACACACAGCTGCACTTGGTATTTGTAATAAAGTCTTAAATGCCCCTGGCGACCAATGATGCAAGAAATGCGAAAGAAAACCAGGAACAATACATCCTTAACTATTGTTTTGTACTTTCCCTTCTCACCTGTGGACGTGGTGATACGAAAATGACATTTTCCAAGTCCAGAGCCAATTGATGGATATCAAGCAATGTACGTCTCTCGGTAAGGACTATCCACTTGGAGAGGTGTCTGTAGTCAGTTGTTCTGTTCGAAGAGCTGTCATAAATATTTGCCTGACGAGAAAAGTTTCAGAGTACTTCAGTAACACTGTAACACAGCTCAAACATGTTGCAGACGAAGAGAGGTAAAGAGTATTCGAACAGATTTGCATTTTTTTAAATACCCTCAACAGAACAATATTTCAAAACTCAAATTTAACAGAAATATTCTACTGCTGAAAAGCAGACGTTCTTAGATGCCGGTTCACTCATTGCATCACGTGCATGGTGCAAACATTTGCATTTAGCTGTATCTGTGATTCATAGGTCAACATCAATATGTCAATATCATTCATATATATATATATCCAAGATATGTCCAATATATATGAAGGTCTAATGTACCAGTAACGAGTTATTAGTCAATAAAGGCTTCTAAATAGCATGGAAACAAATATCTACGATCGTAAATTGGCAAACGTCAGTGGGTAAATGAGTTGTATTTAACAGTATTTTGTCATATCACGGCATACCAGGTAAATGTACGCGGGAAGCAACGTTTACACATTTTGGGAAAGCCACGTGCCTTGGTGTTAACAAACAAAGAATCATCATCAGGATGAACTTGGACTTTAAATCTACAACCTTAGAATCATGAAATGCCTAATGGGCCCAATTCTTGACGGTAATATTACATTGATGTCCAACAATTGGTTTCATGCATTGTACCTATGTAGCTAATACATCCAAGGTCTTCGATATGACAATCAAATACTTGAATGACGAGGTAAGTCATTACAGGAGCACCAGATGATGCCTTGCTTTTCACGAACCATTTTGAGAGTATATAAAGCACCACGGGGTTTGCAGACCAGTACTATGTTGATGGATGGAGACATGATGACGTTCACTGTCTTCAGGACGTCATTCACATCTGTTTCGTCAATGTTGAAGTCCAGGATTTTACAGGAAGTTGTCTTTGACGCCATGGCAGAGTGCAGCGATGCTACTGTATATCCTACAAGTAATAGAAAAGAGTGTAGATTTGGCTCTGGAATTAATCTACATTTAAATATTCGGATATTACAAACTTTAAGAAAGATTGTTGTGGTAACGTAAGATAAATACGATTGCAGTATCTAAAACACATAACCCAGAATTCCTCCTAAGCATTATTGATGTAACATTATGACTGAATAATTTACAATGTGACAAACCCTGATTAACACGTATACCTCGAGCTCTACAGCATCCTTAAGGAGCATTGTGACGTATCCATACACATAAGCATCTATTTACGATTGCGCCATCCCCAGTTACACATGAGGATGACCCAGCCGTCTAAGGCGCCATACCCGTGCTCGTGGTAAACGTCTGAGACCCCTCATCACTTCGGGACTTTCCTCCCACATTAAGCTGACATGCCGTGATATATCAGGAATACTGTTCAAAGTGGCGTTAAACGCAACTCACCTCAGCATTCATATATTCCATTGACCATATTCATGTTTCATTCGTGTTTATCGCTAGGAGATGAATCAGGATTATTACGATGTTACCTGACGAAGTGTCATGCAGGATGCAGAGTGATGTCCAGTTGAAGGATCTAATGACATCGGCGATGAACATGGCAGGTTCCGATTGTACCGGTGAAACTTCTTTGGATATTGCATTCACGTTAAGTAATCTTCCTTCTGAGTGAACAAAACGTATATCATCACAAGTTCACAAACTTAAATGTTTATCATCAGCGAACTAATCGAGACATATTATATTTTGACTACACATTGCTTTTCAATATGCTTTCAAAGAAGATGATTTAGGCAGTTGTAATGTTTAAATATTTTAATGCAACACAATGTTTTAACAAAAAAAAAGGTATTTTCTAAAGCCATGCCTGATTCAGTTGAAACGATTCCCGTGTGTGTGTTTCTTGCACCTTTAAAAGATCTTGGTGAAATTACATGTATTGTCTTTAACAGATAGATTGGACAGGCAGCCAACCTTATAATTCTGGCAATATCATTGAAGCTCTGTGGTCTCTGTAGAGCGAGTGTCCGTTATCTTTGTTCTCGTTCTCACAAAATCCCCGTCTCAAAGATTAACCATAATGCTTAATACAACCAAGGAAGGACTTTCTTTCTTCTCACATAATGTAATTAAGACAAGTGGAATTAATACCATGTGGATTCTCAAAGGATTCCCTTGATGTCTCACAGTCTCAGAAAAGAACCAAGTTCAAGTCTGTCAAACATTTCAACTTTGTACAGGACTACGCCACATGACAAACTTAAGGTCCCCAACTGTGGTCCCCTTCTTGCTGAACCGTTTCCTCCTGTATATGAATCGGAATTTCTGCTAGGATTGCCTGGGTGTATCGACGATCTGATATCGTTCAATAAACATCAAATAGCCACTCTCCTTCCACCGATTTACCCACCTGAACTCGAAATAGAGGAGATCTGTGAGACCGCTTCATCTCTTTTTTATCTGATCCATGCATAAAGATTCAGAGTGACAAAACACTTTCCACAAAACTGTGTAACAAGAGGGATGTCTTCAACTTTCCAATAGTCAGCTTTCCCTTTATGTTGAGTAGTATTCCTGTAGCTCCAGCCTTTGGTGTCTCGTTTCACTACTTTTAAGGGACAATCGACCATGTTATTGTACCAAGATTTCAAAGAGCGCCATACGACTGTTGCTCAAAATTTATGTGATCAAGGTTACAACACTCAAGGCCTCAGCAAAGCTTTCAAATGTTTTATGGTATCAGTAACACATCAGTGACAAAAAGGATGTCCGATGCAATTCCATACTTTGACTTGTACCATACTTTCCGGTGCTTTTTCAGGTAAATAATTGACTTGCCTTTGCATGTGTGTTTGTGACGAGTGCAACCGGGGGGTCTTGATAAGCTCACCTTTTCGCGAACACCTGGTATCATCACTATCTGACAGTGAATCATAAACACATGATCATGATATAGTCGGAATCGTACAATCGACGATGTTTTGGGCAGAGATTTCTTATTGGTATGGAAAGGGTTTGTCGCTTTTATTCACAATGATACTATCCAAGACGGAGTAAAAACATTTGCTTAACACTGTATATTGTGTTTGACATTGCACAGTTTACCTAGGAGTAAGAGGGTTTGTAGATCGTTTTATCCTGGTAGGGATGTTATCCCAATTGCATTTCTCACAATTGCATTTGGCGTACACTTATTAAAGCCTTGGGATTTTTTGCAGAAGTAAGGCAGAACAATATCTAGCATTTCATATTCTTTAAGGGACAATTTGCTCCAAACAGTACATCCGTATAGATCACAAGGTCAAATCACATCCACGAACCACCAGATGATTCAAACCGCCACAGTAGAGATCAGGGTTATGGTTCATATTTGTCATTTTTTCGTAGCTTTTCACGAACAATATTTGGTTAATGTTTAAAGCAGGGATCAGTTGGTACATTTGCTTGAGCCAGCAATATTTCTCTCTTTGTACTGATTTAGAGCTTTTGCCATTCAGTAAAAAATCGAAATGGGCATGTCTTCAGGTTTTACAGTCAAGAAAAAAGTTAAAAGTACTGATGCATGGTTTGGGCAGATTTCTTCCTCAATTAACATATGGGCCTTCCATGGCCTTATTTCATATGTCATACTAAGTTCTTTGATAAAAGCTTAATGAAGTGAAGCTTAATTAAAGTCTGGAAGGTTATTTAAGGTACCGACGTTTACTACAATATCTGAAAAACTATCGGACATACTCCAGTCAAAGTTGGTATGAGATTATTAAACAGTCATACATAACTGGATATTACATTTCAAGACAATCGGTGCATGAATAAAAAAACTGTCTATTTATCTATCACTATATTTCATCAACAACCAGACCTGTTCGTCACAGGTGGAACGAGCATTCATTGAAACAGCCATCTGCATAATGCTACCCCTGCGTCACAGGGCCATATGACACAGTTGAACCAATCAACTCAACTCGAAAGGGTGCACGGGAATCACGCACGCACGAATACGGTGTTAGCGTTGGGCGTCTCAACGTGCGTGCGTGGTTGTTGATGAAATATAGTGATAGCTAAACAGATTTTTTATTCATGCACTGATTGTCTTTAAATGTAATATCCAGTTATGTATGCCAACTTTGACTGGAGTAAGTCCGATAGTTTTTCAGATATTGTAGTAAACGTCGGTACCTTAAATTACCTTCCAGACTATACATATAATGGTTAGTAGAAACAACTACGAGCCTTTAATGTTAGGAAGCCGGGCTTTGGATGACAGTTGACGGGGACAGAATGGGTCCATTCCAATTCTGCTTCCGCTTTTTTAACTTAAACTCCATTTTGAACCACGACAATTATAAAACATATTTAAGATTTGATTACTTTTCCTAGCTTTATGTTCTTTATAAATATCAAGACTTCGATTCAGATCAAAAGTATCTATCTTAAGCAGTCAGTATTGCCAACAATTTATATGATGACATCTTTCCATTAGGCGATAGGCCTAAATGTTTTTAGCTTAAAGCATTAACCTAAGGATACTTCTTAACATATAGATATCGTTTATTAACCTTAAAATCTGAGGACGAATAGTAACACCAAGGTAATCGCGACCCTCACGTAGAACCATTCCGTCACGCACTCTCCTCGTTGAGGCCATGTAGCAGGTCTCCAGGAACCAATGCTTGGTGTAAGGGTCGACTAGAATGGATCGATGGCCAGGCTCTCGGATTTTGGTGACTACTATCTTTTTGTGTTTTTAATTGTTTTCGGTAACAATTTACGTATGTTACCTACCTTAAAAACTTACCTGCAAAGTAGATGGTGTGTAAGATGGTGAGTAGTATGACCATTTCTCTGTGGTTTATTTTACGTCCAGTGGAATCTGTTTTGGCAGATACTCGAGACTAACGTTTGGCGTTGACGTTTCGAATCTGGTTCCTTTCACAAGTGTGACAAAATCTTTTCAGTGTGACATTTGTGTCACAGTTTCAGCAGAATACCACGAAGATGTGCGCAGTATTGTCGACTGTGCTTTACTGTTATTGTAATCAATCAATCAAACACATATCCTGACAATAGTGAATGAAACGATGTGTACATGAAGCTGTTAATTAGGTATGCGTCAAAAAATCTATAAATTGCTAAGCAAATAATTTTTGCCAGCGTTATCAAAATTACGTACTTCGTCATCAATCCGACTGT